CTGTATATTTACTTCAGTATTCAGTAAATAATGGCACATTGTGGACACATTTTGTGGGAGGGAAAATAATTGCTGGCTTATTACCATATTTTGAGGCGTGCCTTGTAAGTGTCTATATTTGTGGCACCCGTTAGTGAGAATGCTGTACCAATTGAACTGATGTGTGGTAGTAGTGCCCTAAGAATTATATGTATATAGAGAACAGATCAGAGTGATAGTGGGTGTAAAACCTTTAATGGTTAAATGTTATTGTGTCCTGTATTTTGATCAAATTTGGTCTTGTTTGGAGGCAGAGGTCATTAGAATAATACCAAGCAGTATGCTTTGCAAGTGTTCATATTCACGTTTAAATTTCAAACCTTTAGCAGACGCTCTTATCCAGAGTGATTTAGTCAGTATAGTAAACGAGATTATAAACTGGGTGGTTTGAGCCCTGGATGCAGATTGGCTGAAAGCTGTGGTATCAGACCACATGCCACAGGTAAGACAACATATTTATTACGCTGGTAAGCAGTTTATAATAGCAATAACGCACCTCTGGGGTTTGTGGTACAGTATATAGCTAATATACCACGGCTAAGGGCTTATCCAGGCACTCTGCATTGCGTCGTGCATAAGAACAACCCTTAGCTGTGGTATATTGGCCATATACCACGCCCCCTTGTGCCTTATTGCTTAAACATACCACAGTCATAGCAAGTGAAAAGATTGTTACTTTTACTGAAATTTTTTTAGTTAAGTGGGCTACTTGCAAGTATATAAAGTGCCTTCGGAAAGTATTCAGGCCCCTTGACTTTTTCCACATTTTGTTAGGTTATAGCCTTATTCTAAAATGGATTAACCTCTATGGGATTGGTGTCCCGTATACAGGACGGTTGAGCTAATGTGTGATAATGTGATTAGCATGACTGTTGTTGTCAAGGGGTGCTGAAGGTGGGTGTGGTGCATGAATCAAGCGCAGGACGCAGAAGCTCAGTCCAAAAGACTTTAGTGCAATATTCACGTAGAAAATAAGCACAATAAGCCCGAAGGCGAAATCACGGCACACACAGGCGTCAAACAAACGGCGCACTAACATGTGCGAAAAACCTCTCCAAAACACTGGAGGGAAGTACGTAGCTCCAACACGAAAACAGAAGAGCAATCACACACAAAGACAAACACAACCAACGAGAACTAAATAGGACACTAACGAGGACTAACAAGACACAGGTGTACAACATAAAGACAAAACCAAACGAACATGAAACATAGATCGGTGGCAGCTAGTACTCCGGGGACGACGACCGCCGAAGCCTGCCCGAACCAGGAGAAGGAGCAGCCTCGGCCGAAACCGTGACAGTTGTAAGTAACAGCAAATTTTCCAGGTCATAGACATGTCTTATATGGGCAGAAAGCTTAAATTCTTGTTAATCTAACTGCACTGTCCAATTTACAGTAGCTGTTACAGTGAAAAAATACCATGCTGTTGTTTGAGGAGAGTGTACAACAACAAAAAACGTATCACGGCAACTGGTTTGATACATTCACCTCTGAAGGTAAATAATGTTTTTACATTCAATAATCTTGCTCTGATTTGTCATCCTGAGATAAAATGTAGCATAGTTTTGTTTGATAAAATCCAATTTTATATTCAAATGTAGGGAACTGGGTTCTACAGTTTGAACCCTTGCTGTCTCTGGCTCCACACCCACCCCGCACGGCCATCTAGATGTGTGAAAGTTAATGTATAAGCTAATGATCCATCATGTATGACATTCCTGGGAGTGTGTAAACTTACATGTTGTATTACCATATCATTTTTGTATGTTCTCTATAGTTATGTACTTGAAAATGTATCAATTGACCAATTCGGCACATTTGGGCAGACTTGATACAAAATAGTCCAGTATTGCAATGATTCACTGGATCAATCTGAAATACATAAGTATTTAGACCGTTTACTCAGTACTTTGTTGAAGCACCTTTGGCAGCGATTACAGCCTCAAGTCTTCTTGGGTATGACACACCTGAATTTGAGGAGTTTCTCCCATTCCTCTCTGCAGATTCTCTCAAGCTCTGTCAGGTTGGATGGGGAGTGTCGCTGCACAGCTATTTTCAGGTCTCTCCAGCGATGTCCGATCAGGTTCAAGTCCGGGCTCTGGCTGTGCCACTCAAGGACATTCAGAGACTTGTCCCGAAGCCACTCCTGCGTTGTCTTGGCTGTGTGCTTAGGGTTGTTGTCCTGTTGGAAAGTGAACCTTCGCCCCAGTCTGAGGCCCTAAGAGCTCTGGAGCAGGTTTTCATCAAGGATCTCTCTGTACTTTGCTTTGTTCATCTTTGCTTCGATCCTGACTAGTCTCCCAGTCCCTGCCTCTGAAAAACATCCCCACAGCATGATCCTGCCACCACCATGCTTCACCATAGGGATGGTGCCAGGTTTCCTCCAGACGTGACGCTTGGCATTCAGGCCAAAGAGTTCAATCTTGGTTTCATCAGACCAGATAATCTTGTTTCTCATGGTCTGAGAGTCTTTAGGTGCCTTTTGGCAAACTCCAAGCAGGCTGTCATGTGCCTTTTACTGAGGAGTGACTTCCGTCTGGCCACTCTACCATAAAGGCTTGATTGGTTGAGTGCTGTAGAGATGGTTGTCCTTCTGGAAGTTTCTCCCATCTCCACAGAGGAACTCTGGAGCTCTGTCAGAGTGACCATCGGGTTCTTGGTCACCTCCCTGACCAAGGCCCTTCTCCCCCGATTGCTCAGTTTGGCCGGGCGGCCAGCTCTAGGAAGAGTCTTGGTGGTTCCAAACTTCTTCCATTGAAGAATGATGGAGGCCACTGTGTTCTTGGCGACCTTCAATGCTGCAGAAATGTTTTGGTACTTTTCCCCAGATCTGTGCTTCGACACAATCCTGTCTCGGCGCTCTACAATTCCTTCGACCTCATGGCTTGGTTTTTGCTCTGACATTACATTTACATTTTAGTCATTTAACAGACGCACTTATCCAGAGTGAGTGCATACATTTTCATACTGGCCCCCTATGTACTGTCAACTGTGGGATCTTATATAGACAGGTGTGTGCCTTTCCAAATCATGTCCAATCAATTAAATTTACCACAGGTGGACTCCAATCAAGTTGTAGAAACATCTCAAGGATGATCAATGGAAACAGGATGCACCTAGGCTCAATTTCGAGTCTCACAGCAAAGGGTCTGAATACTTATGTAAATAAGGTATTTCTGTTTTAAATGTTTAATACATTTCTAAAAATGTCTAAAAACCTGTTTTCGCTTCATCATTATGGGATGTTGTGTGTAGATTGCTGAGGATTTGTATTTATTTGAGCCATTTTAGAAGAAGGCTGTAACGTAACAAAATGTGGAAAAAGTCAAGGGGTCTGAATACTTTTCAGAATGCACTGTATTTGTATTGGAAAATACAAAATACATGTATTCTAATTAAACTCTTACAAAATAGGCTACATGTAATACAAATTACATGAAAGTATTGAAATACTGCCTGTCGTTGGCACTAGCTACCTTCACTGTAAATCTGCAACAGTTTACTAACCACTGTGGTTCCAGTAATGCTCTGTACATTCCTGTTTCATGTGAATATAAAAAAAATCGGCCCGGTCGTGACTTTTTCATGCGTCAGGTAATTCATCCGCATGAAAGGGTTGGATGGAAACATGGTTATTGTTATTTATTTATATATATATATATATATATATATATATATATATATATATATATATATATATATATATATATATATATATATATATATATATATATCATATTTATTTATCTTTTTCATTTAAGAAAAAATATACAGTACATCTCCTGTTTGGCATGTCGCTTGGATTGTAATTCACATCAGCACAGAGTTTTGAACAACCCTTCCCCGCCCCCCCTTTCTGTTCCGTGCTAATAAGACCTAGCTAGCCAGTAACCATCTAACACCAGAAACAGATGAAAGGGGAAACATTTAAGTATATTTGCCATAAATGAATAGTGTAAACTTTTAATTATGTTTGCTGACACCCAACAGTCAAATTCTGGCACCAGTCGAGTAGCTATCCAGCTATATAAACCACGCCCCTATGCAAACACGCCTGCTCTGATGTTGGTTACAAGGCGGTACTCATTTAAATTAGGTACGAGAATATAATGTTACCATTTGTGTATTCAAATGAGAGTTAAGGTGATGTCACCTTGTTCCCTCAATAATTCATCCAAGTGTTTGACATGGGGGAGGGGACCAGTAACTTTATGATCAAACTTTATGATCAAACTTTGATAAAACTTGACCAAGCAACAGTCATTTCTCATACTTTGGTCATCCTACTTTGATCTGGTTTCCTTCAAATATCATCCAATTTTAATGAAAAACATGATTTGACTGTTCATGACCTGTAGTATGGGCTATATGAGGTACCCCGTGAGGGCATTTATCCCCTGAGTAATGCAGTGTTCCAACTGCAAAGCATTGTGTTGAATGTTTGCAGACAGTTGGACATCAGTTGCTATTATTATGTAGGGCAAGACGAGGAAGTTTAATGTCGCAATTGTGGTGGGAAGCATGCACATGAGTCCCCAGAATGCCCAGCAAGAATAAAGGAGGAGTTCTGCCATTGTTTAGACAAGTTTTTCTTTATAATGTCGAAATAAACATGTCCCCAACCCCCATATCACACACTCACAAACTGAAATCATATGTGTGCGTTGTACAATCAATTAGTTGTGATTGGGAAAAAAAAAAAACATAGTACAGTACAGTCAAAGACAAATGTCCCACTAATGATGACTTCACCCTATATTAACTCTTTGCAATGCCTTTCCAATAAGTTTTGCGTTTCTGCTTCAACGTTCCTTTTCAATCTTACTGGTGCATTCAAGACAACTGGAATTCAGAAAAAGACTAGCTCAGATTTCAAAACTATTTTTCCCAGTCTAAGCAAGTTTTTTTCTGACTCTGAGATTTCCTAGTTCCGAGTTCGGAGTTGCCTTGAACACACTATGGCAAAACCAGACCAGTTTGTCCTGAACCCACAGAGGGAAGTTGGGGGGTAAGATGGCCTCAGCACTTTCCCAGGTTTTCCTCTAACCTTGTCAAACGCTGACCTGTCTGCTGATGTGTAGAATTCCTCTCCTCCTGTAGGCGACAACATCTACAGACCTGAGATCTGTCAGGTACTGGAGGGCTTGAAGCAGAGCCCTGAGAGGATGGCCTGTATTCTGATTGACAATGTTCAGCCCCGCCCTGTATAATAATATAATAATATGCCATTTAGCAGACGCTTTTATCCAAAGCGACTTACAGTCATGTGTGCATACATTTTTACGTATGGGTGGTCCCGGGAATCGAACCCACTACTCTGGCGTTACAAGCGCCATGCTCTACCAATTGAGCTACAGAGGACCACAACTACCTCCTGAGGGTGGGGACGCCACTCAATAGGTGTGTTCACGGAGTAAGGCTAACGAAGCTGACGGTTGAAGAAAGTTGATGAGTGAAGTCGGGGGAGGTGCATCTGTGACAGCCGAACGTTGGACGCTGTCGTGGTTTTCAAACAGCAAGGCTCAGATCAGCATGGCAGTGTCAACATAGCTGCTATTTTAATACATTTTTTATTTATAAATGTCAAAACAAACTTTTCTATATCCCCACATCACACACTCACACTCACAAGTGTGTGCAATTAATTGAGAGAGGTCTCAAACATATATTTTGTGGCAAAGTTTGTTCCTGTTTCAGTCACATCTTTGGTCATGTTCACATGGTTCAACCAATCGTTAGGGTGTTTTTTTATTTGGGTTGACCCACGCGAACGTGACCAAAGACAGGACTGAAACGGGAACCAACATTGACACAATTCTAAAGCTATAATGCCTCCAACTAGCCAGGCGATGGCTGCACGTTGGGGAGAAGCAACTGTAGCGACTTAATAAAAACAAGACTGCATTACCTTCGATTACATGGTTTATGTAAAGTACATGCAGTCGACATGTTGGCGTAAATCATTGTGGACTACAGGAAAAATAAGTTTGACTGAGCACGCCCCCACTTTCTTCGATGGGGCTGTAGTGGAGCAGGTCGAGAGCTTCAAGTTCCTTGGTGTCCACATCACCAACAAACTATCATGGTCCAAACACACCAAGACAGTCGTGAAGAGGGCACGACAAAATCTATATATATATATATACTTTTTCTTTTCTTTCTATTTTAATTAACCAGAGGACAAATATATATATATATATTTTTTTTACAGCTTTTCTGCTACATATACATTTTGCATACACATTTTACATACATGGTACTTTTATATACAGCAATCACACAACAATAATACATTACCAAACATAAGGTCTTTAATCCCACCCCTCAGCCACTCTCAGCCCATCCCACCTATCACCATAGACCACCCTCGTTTGGATTCCATGTGCCATATATTTTTCAATTGTGCTGTGATGTTTTACATACATTTTAAACCTTTCTAATCATATAGTATCCACAGATTGTGAGCTAAAGATGAAAACCTTTCCTACGAGTATTATTATATTATTTATTGACTGACTATGGCTTTCCTAATCGCCCAACACTGCTATTTGTAAGGTTAATTTTAAGTGAATTATGTAATTCTTTTACCGTTCCTGAACCTGTGAGCAGAAACAAGCTACACAGGGGTAATACCAGAATAAATGATCTAGTGATTCTGTCTCTTTACAGTAAAATGCTACTTGATTAAAGTCTAAAAGTATTTGGTTTTAAATATACAAGTCAGAAGTTTACATACACTTAGGTTGGAGTCATTATAACTCATTTTTCAACCACTCCACAAATTTCTTGTTAACAAATTATGGTTTTGGAAAGTCGGTTAGGACATCTACTTTGTGCATGACACAAGTAATTTTTCCAACAATTGTTTACCGACAGATTATTTAACTTATAATTCACTGTATCACAATTCCAGTGGGTCAGAAGTTTACATACACTAAGTTGACTGTGCCTTCAAATAGCTTGGAAAATTCCAGAAAATGATGTCATGGTTTTAGAAGCTTCTGATAGGCTAATTGACATCATTTGAGTCAATTGGAGGTGTACATGTGGATGTATTTCAAGGCCTACCTTCAAACTCAGTGCCTCTTTGCTTGACATCATGGGAAAATCGAAAGAAATCAGCCAAGACCTCAGAAAAAAATAGTAGACGTCCACAAGTCTGGTTCAATTTCCAAATGCCTGAAGGTACCACGTTCATCTGTACAAACAATAGTACGCAAGTATAAACACCATGGGACCACGCTGCTGTCATACCGCTCAGGAAGGAGACGCATTCTGTCTCCTAGAGATGAACGTACTTTGGTGCGAAAAGTGCAAATCAATCCCAGAACAACAGCAAAGGACCTTGTGAAGATGCTAGCGGAAACAGGTTCAAAAGTATCTATATCCACAGTAAAACGAGTCCTATATTGACATAACCTGAAAGGCCGCTCAGCAAGGAAGAAGCCACTGCTCCAAAACCACCATAAAAAAGCCAGACTACGGTTTGCAACTGCACATGGGGACAAAGATTGTACTTTTTGGAGAAATGTCCTCTGGTCTGATGAAACAAAAAAATAACTGTTTGGCCATAATGACCATCTTTATGTTTGGAGGAAAAATGGGGTTGCTTACAAGCCGAAGAACACCATCCCAACCGTGAAGCACGGGTGTGGCAGCATCATGCTGTGGGGGTGCTTTGCTTCAGGAGGGACTGGTGCACTTCACAAAATAGATGGCATCATGAGGAAGGAAAATTATGTGGATATATTGAAGCAACATCTCAAGACATCAGTCAGGAAGTTAAAGCTTGGTCGCAAATGGGTCTTCCAAATGGACAATGACCCCAAGCATACTTCCAAAGTTGTGGCAAAATGGCTTAAGGACAACAAAGTCAAGGTATTGGAGTGGCCATCCCAAAGCCCTGACCTCAATCCTATAGAACATTTGTGGGCAGAACTGAAGAAGAGTGTGCGAGCAAGGAGGCCTACAAACCTGACTCCGTTACACCAGCTCTGTCAGGAGGAATGGGCCAAAATTCACCCAACTTATTGTGGGAAGCTTGTGGAAGGCTACCTGAAACATTTGACCCAAGTTAAACAATTTAAAGGCAATGCTACCAAATACTAATTGAGTGTATGTAAACTTCTGACCCACTGGGAATGTGATGAATGAAATAAAAGCTGAAATAAATCATTCTCTCTACTATTATTCTGACATTTGACATTCTTAAAATAAAGTGGTGATCCTAACTGACCTAAGACAGGGCATTTTTACTAGGATTAAATGTCAGGAATTGTGAAAAACTGAGTTTAAAAGTATTTGGCTAAGGTGTGTGTAAACTTCCGACTTCAACTGTACTTAAGTATCAAAATTAAATGTAATGGCTAAAATATACTTAAGTATAAAAAGTACAATTTATAAATAATTAAACATTCTTATATTAAGCAAACCAGAGGGCAGATAGCCAGGGGCACACTCCAACACTCAGACATAATTTACAAACGCAGCATGTGTGTTTAGTGAGTCTACCAGATCAGAGACAGTAGATGACCAGGGATGTTCTCATGATAAGTGCGTGAGTTGGACCATTTTCCATTCCTGCTAAGCATTCAAAATGTAACTAGTATTTTGGGTGTCAGGAAAAGTGTATGGAGTAAAAAGTACATTATTTTCTTTAGGAATGTAGTGAAGTAAAAGTTGTCAAAAATATAAATAGTAAAATAAAGTACAGATACCCCAAAAAACGACTTAAGTAGAACTTTCAAGTATTTTTACACAACTGCCTCACTGGCAGAGTCAAGACATGGTGCTGATTGAGGTTGCTGGACATCTGCAGAGGACCAAGCGTGACGAGCACTCTGATGGAGGTGTGGCTGCGGGAGTGGCAGTGCTCGACAATCCACTCCTCGTCTGACCTACACTGCCCTCTGTCACATTACTAGTGGAACTGCACAGGAGGACAGCCAGAGACACGTCAAACACACACCTTTGACCACAGAGAAAATAGCTGCTCATCATCTTTTGTTGATTTTTTTTTGTGACTTTTACTCAGTTTTTACTGTAAAATCAAATATGTCTTCTTGTAGCTTGTGGAGATCAGGAATGAGCCTGATGGAGGAAGAGCAGCTATGTGTGGACACTGAAGTCTTACTGTCACAATACATTTGAATCACTGCTCGGATAGACTTAAACAGAGACAATAAATTAATGTAAAACAGAAAATACAGAACTATCATTATTTCGGACCAAAAAGTATGTAGTATTCTAGATATTGTACAATCAAACTGAAAAGCTGAACATGATTTCATCATGAAACAATAGAACAATTGCGGGTTGCGGACGTGACAGTAATAAATATGATCAGCACTGTATTACCAAAGCTGGTATCACATGTGCCGCATTTCCATTGAGCATTTATCCTAGTGTTTAACCCAAAAGGCTCAGACTTTTCTGTTTCCATCTACACGGACCCACATCTCACTGGGCCATGGCTCCGGCAGACTTGGGGCCAAGGCAAGACCCTGGATACTTGTAAGCTTTCATTTACATAACAATTACTAACTGTGAACTTTAACACCTCACAAAGCAACAGTCTTGAATGATGCAGAGGTTGTTGATTCTGTTCACCCCAAGTCTTTAGTTTCAACTACTGATGGAAGAACAATAACACTAGAGCTCACACATCAACATAAAACACTGGCGGAAAAGGCACATTGGAAAAGCACCATTAGTAGACTATAAGAATCTCTGGTGTTATCATAAAAACAGTGTAATAGCTCCCCTAAGCAACGCTGACCCGCTATGACAGGGTTGGCTCACTTTATGAATGTGGATCACAATAAGTAGGCATATTCTCTTAAAATACCCCTCTCCCTCTCTCTCTCCTCTCCCTTTTCCTCTTGGGGCAGTTTGAGACAAATCCTTGGAGAGAGGGCTGGGTTGGGGGTCAGGACGGTGTGTGAGGGGGCCAGAGGGT